AGACATTTCCCTTCCCATCCAGGAAGCTTTTTCAATTCCAAATGTCAGAAATAGCGTTGAGTTCGAGGCTTTAGAGTGGACCAAAACAAAGCCTTGATTTGGTTTAGAAAACATGGAAATTGAACCAGACTAACTGGTCCGCCCCGTAGGAATGGGCAGTTTTTGGGGTCCTTTGTTAGCCTGCAATAAACAATACTGATCTATGTCTCTCAAAAAGGGGCCTTTAGGGGGAATTGTTGGCCTTGCTGAACCTTGCTGAATGCCAGGCCAACATATCCACCACTATGGTGCCGACGCACACTTTTATTTACTCATGCAGTTTAACGTAACCACAGTATTTTAGTGTGTTATTTGATCTTGTGTTCTTTGTGTAATGGATGTAAAGAATTGTTCAATAACGTTTAAATAGTATAATAATTTCCTTGTTGTCTGTGTAAAAGGATTTTGGAGCTAATTGAGTCAGGTGTGACATAAACACAGTGACTCAGGTTCATGCCAGCTGACCAAATCTATGTTGTTATAGTGTTATTGGGAAGCTTAATTAATAGCGCCTATATTCACCTGAGAACTGATGATGTCCATGGGTTTCAGACCCTTGATGCATACACTGAAGCGTATATGACAATAAAGTAGTAAATCTCAATCTATTGCATTACTTATTTTTATTGTAATTTAAATAGGCCTATAGATTCATAGGTCTTTTGTCCCAAAAAAAAAAAAACATATATATATATAAATATATACAATACAGGTACCATAAAATGCAAACATAAAGCCATAAATGTGTGCAATTGTTTACAAATCCAAAGCTGAAAATGCACAGCTGGAAGTAAGGTTCCAGGACAGGCCTGGTTCAGAAAAATAATATAACAAAAAGGATGTGAAAATATTTCCTCTCTCAGCAAAGCTGTTATTAATCTTTTATGCGGTCTTGTTTAGAATGCATTTTATAAATAGTTATAATAGAAATAAGCTGGTCTGTTTTCATTTAACACAATGGACCTGGATATATTTCTGGTTGCATGTCCACAAATAGGCTAAAGGTGCAAGTTCTGTTTTTGAAATGGGTTATTTTTTTCAATATTAGATAAACAAATACCTCTCCATAATCTTTGGGTAGAATTTCCAGAGGTATCCAAGTGCCAATTCAAAAATTCAAATGCTCATATGCAAGCTACACCCTGGAAACATCCAAGCATCAATGAGAAGCAGAGGGGCTCTTTGTCAGGAGATGAATATGTTTTGGTAAAAAATGTTTTTATCAACTGCAAAAAAGAAGCTTGTTAAGATTTTAGCTGAAGCTGGTAGGGTTGCATCATTACCTACATGTACAGTAAATCAACCTCAACTGAAAGGCCACCCAACGAAGAAGAGCACAGCACTCCAAAAGAAACCTAAGAGAAAAAAGTTAACTGAAACTAAAACTGAAGCAGTGGATCACAATTATCATTTTTTCTTTAGGAGGAAAAATGTAGATAGGTAGGTCCTTATCTCAGTCCTGAAGAACATTTGGATCAGAGCTGAAAAGATGTGTGACAGAAGGGCCGTACAAATCTGCCTCTCTACACCATCAGGAGAAATGGGTCAAAATTCCAGCAAACTATAGTGAAGGGTTGCTCAAAACATCCGACATTAAATAGATTTAAAGGCATTTCTCCCAAACACCCTGGAAACTCATGTTAAATTCTGAATTTGAATGAAGACTAGTTTTCTTTCTGATTATTCTGGAGTTTAGCAAATCTAACATTATTTTGCTCATCTAATTGACCTAAAATAGAAAAAAGCTGTTTATTTAATGTCTAATTGTTATAAAAAAAATCTTGTTTCTTACATCTTGAACATGATTAAAATGCTTTGTTCTTTTAAGAAAAATTGTCAATTCAGTTTAACTGAAGAAGCCTTGCTATTAGTCTTGCTAAAATTTGCTAATGCTAATAATTCTCTCGTGTGAAAACACTAGCATAAAAAAATACAGGATATAAGATATTCTAAGAAGCATTATTATTGATTTCTCAAATATGTGTGAGTTTGTTGGGACACATAAATGACCTATTAATACAAATCTCTCTGACACAAAAATAGTGTGTTTAGTGAGTCAGCTAGCTGAATGGTTTTATAAATTAAGATGCATAAAACAAGGTGACACCAAGCACCAGAAGAGGAACCCTGGACATCCATGCACTAATAAATAGTTCCCAAAGAGTTGCTTATTAATTACAGATATAGTTTAACAACATTTTGTCCAAACCTGAAGCCTAGACCTTGCTCAATAATATCTCACCTTAAATGTACTTTTGAACTGTTGGATTGAATTTCAAATGCTTCCAATGTGTTAATTTCTTTATTAAATCAGGTCTGCATGTCGGTGTGCCTACCAAACAGGTCTCATATTCCCTCACACTGGAGAAGCCCAAGGCTTCATATCCTCATTCAATCAGATTACAGCCTAGACAGTTCCCATCAGTCTGCTGCTTGCACTCAAATTAAAACTGAGCAATCTATGAGCATGCACATTAAAGAGAACTTTATTTTGAAATCCCATTTCACTGTGGAATCAGGTTATCTTTCTCCTGCTCTTTCTCTTCATCTCTGTCAGTCATTCTAACCTCCAGTTTTCTCTCAACGTGTCTTTCTGACCCACATGTAGGCCTTTTCATCCCATTCTTCCTCCCGTTACAATTTTTACCTCCTCTATTGCCATTTTGGCTTTCTTATCATATACCTCTCCTCCCGTTTTTTTTGCCCTCTTTTTCTTTTTCCCCTTCTTCTGTCCTATCTCTGTCTTTATTCCCCAGCGGGGATTATCTCAGTCAGAGGCAAATCTGCCCAATTATAAACCTCATCTCCTCTCTCTCTTACACACACATAGACACAGATAGATGCCTGGTTCTTCTGAATCCTCTGCTCCACACATCTTCTCTCTGCCTCGCACATACACAGAGAAACACACACAGATAGAGTTGCACAAACACACACAAAAAAAACCACTTCCTTGTTTTGCTCTTCTTCAGTGTCTATTTCATTGTTTAACAACACATACACACAGACTCACAATCCACAGCTACCCTCCTCTCTCTGTCACACCTTAAAAAGCCAATTATTCACGCATCCTCCCTTTTTTGCTTTTCTCTCCTCTCCCCTTTCCCCTGTTCTCTCCCGTCACTACACCGATCTGGAGTGAACGGCTCAGGAAAACAACGGAGAGAGGAGAAGAAGGGCCAAAAATAGGCGATGAGGGATGTGTAAAACAGAAAACAGACAAAAATAAGATGATGGAGTAAAATACGTACTGATTAGTCTAGAAAAGTGGGAGATAATCGAAAACTAAATAGAGGCACACGAGAGGAATGAAACAATAAGGAAGAGGAGATGGTGTTAATTGCCAGACTGGTGTTAGTGCTGTGCTGACAGTTTCCTGTTGGTGGGGGGCTGATTGGACGATAATGATGCTGACTAGTAAACTGCTGCACTGCTGACCCAGAGGAGATAGTAGAAGAAATGGTTGCTATGAGCTCTCCTAGGAAAAGATTTGCTCTAAATGAGTGAAAGGAGGAGGGACATGGAGACAAACTATTAGCTTTTCAGGAATTTCTACAAGTATCAGAGTGCTGTGCTTTATGACCACTGAATAGCGGTACTGGTAAAACCCAGGAGTTTAGTAAACTTCTATTTTTGCCATCATTCCTTCTAGTTTTTCGAGCCTGCATAAATGCATGGAGGTATGTTTATACAGTAATGTTATATATGCATTATTGTGTGTACTTAAAATATTACTGAAATCTGTAATCAAATATGTAATCTGTGATTGCATGAATAGTTTAATCTGGCCAAAATGGACAGATGTGTTCACACCCTGATTAAATATTCATATTACATATATTTATTGCATATTATTATTATTTTTTATTTTTTTGCAACTTCTGATCCAATTTGAGTGTTTTGCTGTGCATGTCTAAAAGCACTTATTTTTGGGTCTGATTAGCCAGAGATAAAATGAAGATGTAGGGCACAGAAAACCCAATTATGTTCACAGAAGAACTCCACAGCCACAGTGAAACATGAGGAAAGTAGTTTTACGATCAGGATGTATTTTTTCCCTCAGGTGGAAAACAGTTTTTTATCAAGGTGGAGTGAATTATTAATAGTTCTTAATGCTATCTGGAGCCAATCAAAAACCTCCAGGTGTCTGTCAGAAAGGTAAAAAAGATTTCATTTTTCAGCATTACAGTGAGCCTATGCTTAGGCTGTGATGCCATCCCTTTGACTACTGAAAAGCTTTACAGAAAGCCACTTAATTGAGTTTATTATGTAATAATTATGGGTGAGCAAGAGAAAACTGACAATTTTTGTGCCAAAGGGGGATCCGAAGCTGTTCAAGTAACTCTTATGAATGAGTAATGAAGTCATTACAGAGGAAATAATAACATGCCATTGCCTATAAACTATTTACATTTATAAGAGGAGCCTTATTGTAAAGTAGTAACAGTCATTCCCTGTACATAGGTGTGTTAAAAGTTAAGATATGAGCATGCTAATAAAAGATAGAAAGCTGAAATTAGATAAAGTGATGTTTTAACAATGTATCACCCAACTACAGTGCTAAGCCCAGAAGAGCTTTAAAGAGCACGCACAGATCCTGCAATACAGTCAGTGATAAATGGTTTTAGATCAATTAACTGCTTCGCTTTTCGTTTTTGGGGCATCCAGATATTTTCAGGGTAACTTTCTACAATAGATCAGTACACTGAGTACACAAAAAGTACATTTGTGGCTCATTTTGGTGCCACTAATGTTCAATCATAATGTTTACTTGCCTACATTAATATATAGAGCTCACTAATTGATATTGATTGATTGGTTGATTAATTAATTGATTGATATTTAACTGGCAGTTTATATAATTTTGGGAGTCAGGTATTATTTTCTAATAATCCTTACTTACAAATGGAAAAAACAAAAGCATCAAAGGAAAAGCATGCATATAGAATGTAATACTGTACCTTGTAGTTGTTGCTGATTTTTGACTGTGTCTCCGCTAAGATTACACAGCAAGACGACTGCATTCTTGACTGTTCCACTGGTGATGCTGTTTGCCTTTAAAAAGTTAAAGACAAAGTCAGTTACAGGTTTGCTAATCATTTTAAGAGTGAGTGTTTTACATCTCAGATAATATCTAGCATATCATTAAATGTGAGGACATAAAAAGTAGACCTAATAAATTTAAAGATGTTAACAGAATGAATTTCCTCTGTAATTGAATCCTATAAAAATACAGGAGAAAACAGAGATTAAAGCTCTCCATCCAATGTTCTTATAGACTATAAATATACTGTAGATGTATGAAGACAACGGTTCAATCAGTGTCAGGTTTCTTCCATGGAAAGACTGAAGATCTTTAAAATATTCTCACTCCTGGTATGCTGCAGGAATATATTCCCAAGAGCTTGTTCATAAAAGCAACTACATCTTTGAGAAATATTGCCTGTGCAGTTCAACTGAACAATCTGAAGATTTCTAAAAATGAGAACACTGTACGTCAATTTTAGGGACACGAGTTGTCATTATTTTCTCAAAGTCCTATAGTCACATCCAGTAAATTAGAACATTTCTTTAGATGAGGCTTGTATTTTCTTTTTTAGAATAAGAGCTGGTATTAAACACATTTATTTAGTTCACATTTCTGTATTCAAATTTGATGTGTAATTTTAATCTTAAATTATGACTTATCAATAGCTTTCAGTGGAAAATCTAAAAAAAACTTGATTTGATTGATCTGAACATTGAACATTTCAATAACAATACTTCATTGAATATGGCTGTATCTATCAGCTCATGAGAGACACAAAAAAGGTTTGGGGGATGGCTCAGGGAAAACCTATTATCGTTTAATTAAGTAAAGCCTAAATAAAGAGGTTAGAAATACATTCCTAGAGAGTACAGCAGGGTAGCTTGTTGCCATGATAAAGGGGGGCTCTTTTATTAAAAACATATCAGCAAAGACTGAGAGAGGATAGAATTAATGAGCTTTTATAAACATTTGTATAAGATTTATATAAGATGGCTATTTAAACCTGTGGTGGACCTGGGTTTGAATTAACCAATTGTAAATAGCAACAACTTTAATTCACAATTAGAGACATTTAATAAAAAAAGAAGGACAATTAAAAAAAAATTGGAAGATACTAAAGACATGCTGGTCTTGTCTGGTTGGCCATTAGTGGCGGCGCACTCAGTCTCAGAGGCTCAGGCTAACTCTACATTTGATTGACAAAATTTCGCTGCATGTTCTAAGTATAACGACAACTAAAGCACCTTTACCTTTTTACCCTAAATTGAAGTCTGTAGTTATGAACTCATTAACCAAACCACAACACATTTCTTAACATTATCGGCTGTTAACTAAGAATAATATAATAATGATGCAGCATTGGAATCTACAGACAGCAGTTCACTTATATGAAAAAAACCACAGACAACACTCTATCTACAGTATGTAAAAAAAATGTTTGAACTTAATACTACTAACTGAAACAAATTAAACTACCAAAGGGAAACCAGCAAAAACACATAAGCTTCAGCTAAATTTAGGCATCAATTAATCATCACTCAAACAACAGCAAATTTGCAGATAAACACAGCATTGATTTGAAGTTGGAATGTAGTAATCTATGATGGGTCCTAGCTTGTAGTGGTATTGTGCCTTTGCTAGACTAAGGGTGCTAAACCACATGATATATAGCAAAGGCTATCATCTCTAGTGGTTCAGAAAAAAGGAAAAGGGAAACCAAACAGGGAGAAAGGAGATGAGAGAAAAGGGAATAACTGACATTAATCAGCAGCCTGTTCACACAGTCTAATTCACTATTGTTTGAAGAGTTCAAAATAAACCAGAAAAGTAGCCTCAGCAATTAAGTTCAGATCAGACAATAGATACTGTAGTATGAAGTTGAAGTTTAACATATTCTGGAGTAAATGTCAGCTTTTAAGCCTACCTTTAACTACCTGCCCAGACATGCTTAAAGTAGCAAATAAAAACAAAAAGCAAGGGTTTTACTTTTTAAACTCATCTTTGGGAGGCTACTGGAGCTCTTGGCTTAGGTCCATGGCTTCTTGCATTTTTTTTTTTGTCATTACAATGTCAGGATACAGAGCAATGAAATTCACTCTCTGCATTTAAACCCATCCCCTTGGGGAGCAATGGGCTGCCACTGTAGAACTTCTGGATAAATTAGAGGAGAAAAAATATGGATTTAAGAAGGGGATTGCATTTCCAAACTCCACTACTGCTGTTAGTTTTGAGATTGAACAGGTTGCGCTCTCATGCAGGTATATGAATTTTCTTCCATTTTTTCCCCAAATCCTCAAAATAAAAATAACACCAAGGAATGTTGGTGATGGAGGAATTTCAGGGTTAGAGAGCACTGCTCTGATGGATGTCAGTTCCTGCTTGGTTCTTCATGACTCAATCAACTCCTTCAAACAGAAACGCGTCCACCATAGAAAGATTCCTTTATCGTGTTTCTATTATTTCATCAATGCAACAAAACCTAAACCGTGCAGTGAAGGGCGGTAAAGCAGCACGCAGTAAATTCCACGTGGGGAGAGAGTTCACTGCTCCTCCCTCAACCTCATGCTCCTATGTGACATTTGCTCCATGATAATCATGAATGCTTATTATATATTTAAGCCCACATTGTCCTTTTTTATAGGCCCGTGCTGCCTTATGAGGCTTATATAAGACTTTTACATTTTTGCTGCTACAGACAGATTGGTTTTTGTTTTTTTTTGGTCAAATGTGGCTCTTTGAACAGTTTGGGTTTCCGACCCCTGACCTATGGTGTGATGTCAGAGCTGCAAGGCAGGCTGGAAGCTGTAGTTGCAGTTTGTTTATGGGTACCTAAGCACTTGTGTTATGGGTAGTGTTCACTATTTTTGTCATTTTATTATGGTTGTGATTATTTATTGTAGTTATTTCTCAGATTTTTATATTTACAATTACCATAATTTCATCTGAGTCCTTATTATCATTACCAGCAGCCTTGCACTGCTCATTATTCTGTCATTCTTAAGTACATTTAAACCCTTTTTTTTTTTACATCAGCATTTCATTTTAAGGTGTTTTTTTTATTCGCATTCAAATGTAATAGACTCCCAGCCTAATTCTCCTGTTGGATTTATTAAGGTTAACTACTTATTTTTAGTACAAAGACACTTTTAAAAAGTCTCTTGTATAAATGAGATGTAGTTTTAGTAGGCTAAACAAATTCAGAATATATTCAAATGGAGCATAAACCTAAAACTGCTTCAAAAGCGATCAAAACATTTACCTCAACATGTTAGGGGAAACCGCAAAAATTATTTTTTGGACAGAGGCTCGAATTAAGGCTTCTTGACAGACTGAAATACAGGCGAAGGTATGTTTTAATAACAAGGGCTGCTTTATACAGATAGAGCTGTCAGTGCTATTCCTGAAAATAGTCCCATCCTAATGATCTTTTTGTTCTCCTCATAGACTGTGTGCTTGAACACCTGGGTGGATCTGCTGTGACATTTCTATTGATAGAAGCATGAAAAATGAAAAGCTACAGCAGACAGATGTTATCTCTGAGAATAATAACAGACGCCGTATTTGGATAATATTAGAGTTCTAAAGTGGGATAATTGTTGGTTTTCTATCCACAGTTTTCACCTTTCTCTTATTGCCATCTCCCGAAAGCTTCTTTCTCTTTAACTTCTACTTTCACCCTTTCCAGCTACAACTTTCACCCACTAATAGGATCTGCAGTCCTTACTTCTTTTTTTTTTTTCTTTCCTACTTCCTCTTCCTCTTCAGCATTTGATCCTGTTAAAGATATGCCAGCACTGCCTCCAGGGTCCGCGAGCATCAGTGTGATCTGTGAACGGGCTGCTAAGTCAGGCTGGTACTCATCAGGTGCGGTTGCCTGAGGCTAAAGACAATGGCATCCATTCACACCTCGGACAAACTGCTTTTCCATGGCAACAAATGACAAAGCTAAACTTTTTGATCTTTATGAGCTAAAAGGTTTCAACATAACTTTACAGTGAATACAAAAAAAGGATAAAATAAATAATAACAAAATGAGTAGTCTCACAGTTTATGAGACATTCAGGCTATATTAGTGTAACTAACAAGAGATTTCTGCATGTATAGCATCAGTTCTACACTGTCTGTAAACATATTTGACTGCAAGCATGGAAGCAGTCGTTCATCTCCTGAGGCTCAGCAAGCGAACAGTTAATAAACCAGGTTTAGCCACCATCCTCAGGCTCTTTAATGTCTGACGCACAACTACTTCATCATGTAGACAAATACAATTAAGAGAGTTTTTCCGTGAGAAATGTGATCACTAGTGGCAGGTATACTCTGTCTTGATCAAAAATTTTCAGCCAACATAAATCAATCCATGGGCGAGCAACACAGACAGCTCTAATGGAGCCGGACATGAGTGGTTCAGACAGGGGTAAACAATCAAGAGACGAGTTAATCAGGCTGCTGGATAAGAGTGTTTAAATATTCTGCATCAGCTAGTCACGGTTGTGAAAGCAGCCATGTCGAACGCTCATTATTCAGGATGGGTGTGTATGTGTGTGTGTTTGGAAGGAGAGTGGAAATTGTTTCTTGCAGCACAAGTATTTTGGTTTGCTGGGAACAGATTGCACCATGTTGGAGGATGCATTTGAATGTGTGTTTGCAAAAAGGGTCAGGTGAAATAAATTGTTTACTGGGAACGTTTCCACGCCCCAGTGATATCAGACAAGAGCCGTGTGTTTGTGCATAAGGTCATGTGTTGGGTGTGAGCAGTGCAGTCCATACTCCCAGTCTATTAACCCTTCATTCTCCCTTGTGCTGACCTGCCAGTCAATTACATGAGCCCTCTAATAGGTCAGCGGGACTCCAACTCATTTGCATAGGCATATCTAGAATGGGTAGATGGAGTGAGTAAGAAAAGGCATAGCAGGACTAGAAGAAAAAAAATGCAAACATCCAACAATATTAAAGATGAACTGGTTTGCCTTTTCCTGGGCAATACCAATTTAGGGTTTTCTTTGAGATGTGATTTGGAAAGTCCTTTTTTCAACGATTCAACTTTTTATTTTAAGAGACTATCATTTATAAAAGATTAAAAAATTGTACTGCAAGTTCTTTGATAGTGATAGCAGTTTTGGATCTTATGGAAAACCACTGAAGTAGATTCTAATCTCACTTGTTGTTTTGCAGGATATCTGACTGAACTTTATCTTATTTTGATTAAACTTAAAGAGGTTCTTCAAAGTACATGTTTTTCATTGAGTTCTTTAAAGGTTGAACTTGTTGGATCCTTTATTTAAAGCACCTGTAAAATGTTTTTTTAATCAAATACTGATGGGGAAAGAAAAGCATCTAAATATTAAGATATTGGGCACTATGTCACGTCACTTTGACTTACTAAAAGATTCAGAAAAAAAGGGAAATTTTTGTGTTAAAATTTGACAGTCTAAAGTCCTTAAGTCGGCCGAATAAGAATACTTCTAGATCATTCGTTATAAAAACATCAAATATACTACAATCCTAGTAGATGGCCGGTTGCATAAAAACTGCAATAATATGATAAAAATGTTGGATACTAGTTTGTGCTTTGTTTCTAGAGTGAAGTGGATAAGCTGTTAAACCTGTGAAGCACGGATGGGCAGGTCTGACTGAGCACAGCCAGTCGTGATCTAAGGATGTTTCGGCAAACTGCCTTGAACTGTATTCTTTTCACAAATTATGTCATAATTTTGTCCTTTTTTCTTTCTTATCACATTGAAAAATTCTAGAAATTACATGAAACTGTTGTAAGGACATAGTTGCCTAGGATGAAGGCTTTCCAGACACTGCATCACACAGACTTTTTGTAGCCTAATGCTTTGGTAGATATACACACCCAAGATTCAACAGACCCATGTTTTGCTGGAGGTCTAACATCCAATTGTCTCCAAGTGACTCTAAACTCATGCTTCGCCTCTAGGTTTGTCATCTCCAGTATAACTCCTTCAATCGACCTGATGTCATCCACCTGAGATGTTGCACAGCATATTGGTCCTGGTCTCATCTTTATATTTTCTACTCTTGATCTGCCTCCTTTTTCCCCACGGTATGAAGACTAGTTTAAGTCTCCACTCTTGGCGTGGAAGAGGAATGTTTTCTTCAGGTCCATTTCCATTTGTTGATTGGCCAGTCTTCTTAAATCCTGGATCAAATGTTGTGTCGCTTCTACTTCCAAGACACCCTCCTCCATCTTTGCTTCCACTTCAGAACCATTTTCATCCACAATCTGGACCACATCGTTTCTCACAGAAATAAACCTCATTGTGTTTAGATAAAAACAGTGTGCTATGCCAAAAACAAGTTATACTTTAGTATGGCTATTCTGAAAATATGATAAAATACACTGGAAGGTTTGTTTACTTAGAGGGTGAGCACAAGTGCATGGAGAAAAGATGGGTTCATAGAGAAACCCATCTGGTCTGTGTGAAGATGTGATACATTATTTCATTAAGACATTGGTTCATGTTGGAGGGTCGGCACGTAACCACAGGAAAGAGATGTGTAGAGTACTAAAGATGTTGTTCAGTTGTGTGAGTTTGAGGGGGTGTGGGTATGTGTATGTGTGTGGGTGTGGTTACTCATCTAATGAATGAGTATTGTCTGCATTCGCATTCTTTACAAATAGCAGCCAGTTTCGTCCAGGACCACCAAGTTTGACTAAAACACAATTCATTCAAAGGGTTGATCATCATTGTTAATTGATTAAATGTTCACTGTGGGGGATATTTTAAAACTTGAGATCAGATTAAAAACAGATTATTTATCGTCTGATTCTGACATTTGCATAACTAGTCACATTCAGATGTACTAATGGGTGCATTTCTATATAACATTAATGTCTATGATAGTTGTTTTATTTGACGACTGGCATAGTGCCATCATCAAAAGGAGTGGGTTTCTTACCATGATGAGCTGATATACAGCTGGCAGGATCCTGCTATGATTAATCCACCTGAGAAGAAGATATAATAAACATAGTGAATGAGCTGTAGACAAACCAAGGTCAGAAAATCATTTTATAGATTTTCTACACTACTCAGACATGCATTTTCTGCCCACAAAAACAGTCTTAGAGACACATGAATGTGGACTGGGTTGTTAAAGCTCAATTAAGAGTAGATTTCAATCCACTGATTCCTGCCTTCCATCAGTGAAACTAAAAAGAGAAAATCTCTCTTCAGCTTTTAAAGAGCAGAGGTGATGATAATAGATTGAAGGTGCAACAGGAGATGGAAAGACACAGAAAGAGGGTGGATAACAAGATGAGGGGAATTATATTTGTTAGAAAGAGGCAAGGATATGGAGACAAGGGTGGGGGAATAAAAGGAGAAAGAAAAAAACATCTGTCGCTTCTTGAAAGAAAAAATAGAACAGAAAAAAAAGAACAGAGATAAATTAAGCTTCTGTTCACCAAGGTTCTTTGATTTACATTTAATTACTGAGTGGATAAGGAACTTAAGTGGTTTGAATAGATGTCTTATTTACATATGTGTGTTTGGAAGCATGAAAGCATACAGGTCGTGACGGGAACCAAGTAAACTTAAATCGGACAGGTGTTAATATGCTGCCCAGTCATTTGTCTTCAGTCTAATTATGATTTATAGCTTGTCGAGAGGCTCTGATTTAAAGAAGCTAATTTAGAAAAAGGTGAGTTTCAAAAGTAAATATGCTGCCCTTGGTAAAAGTGTTTCAAAGTACCCAAGATTAATGAAATAACCCCTCATTCTATTGTTGCTCTGCTTTTTTCCCCCTACATTTAGCTGTTCATGTTTACTAAGAGTGTATTCTCCTCACTACTACCCTTAAATTCACAGTTGTCTGCAAAACAAACCTTTATCGAATGACGCATTTTACTCTTCTTTTTTAGATTTTTCACTTAAGGGTCTTAATACCAGACACTTTTGGGCTGGGCGTGAGCTCATAATTTGAGTAGAATATGCTCTTCCGGCAAAGAAAAGTTTCATAGATGTTTCAATTAGCATTACAGATCGAAGCATTACTCTCCACTTCTAATCTTTTATTACTTGTTAAGAAACCAAATTTGTTATTCCTTTTACAGACAAATTAGATAAATTAGGCTTTTTGATTCTATAATTGTTGTTGTTTACGATCTTTATATTGAGCCTTTTTCCTTAAAGCTAAGTGTTGACTTAGTTTATGTATGCAAGTCCTCACGTGTGCGATTGTGTTTGCTTGCACATGTGATGGATGATGCCCCATTATGGAACTGACAGGCTGAGAGATGAGAGGACAGGCCAGGCCAGCACAACATGATAAACTGGGCCACCTTTAAACTGCCAGCAATACATCAATTGACAGAGTGCAAGACACAGAGCAAGCCAGAGCACAACAGATGACCTACAACAGAGCAAAAATAAAAAAAATAAAAAAAGCTGATTAATAAACCCCTGTTAAATAAAGCCCACATTAAACAACCATTCACCAAACAGCTTTTACAGGTATTTGTATCATAATGCAGAGCAGCCTCCTTAGAAAATGTTTTTATGGATTAACTCACATGTGAGAGAAAAGTGATCTTAGCTTAATTATTGACCAATTCCTTACCCCATTTGGTCAAAACCGACTTTCAAAAAAATATTTTAAATATACGAAGTAAAAAAAGTGTGTAAATCATTAAAATATCTAAATTTTACTCATAATATAGGCCAGTTGTACGTATGCATTTTTAGGTACTGTATCCTTTTTACTCATTAGTGTTGTGTTTTCCATTTTGAGCGGGGATTTCTATAAAAACAACCAAAATTATTACAAATGATAAAAAAAAGGTCTTTCTATTAGATATTTAATGGTGTGTCCTCCTTACTTAGACAATAATAAAAGGTATGCTTCAGTTCTATGGAATATCTAATGGAACACACAAAGCAAAAGGGATGGGAAGGAAAGAATACTGTTAAGGTAAGGTAAGAGATGGCAAAAGCATCAGAGAAAAATGCTTCCCTTGTATAAAGCAGCAGTCATATTTATTAAACTCCTCCTGCAAGCCAGCAGGTGTTCCTGTGGTCTAATGAAAAGTATGAAAATAATCTGATAAGAAATGGTCAATGAGGAGAGAGAAGAAGTGCTCCATAATACAAAATGTTCCATTGAAAGCTAGCTACAACACACAAACACACATCTCCTTCACAGATAGACATTTAGGGGCATTAAACATGGATGGGAAAAACACAGTAGCAACCTCACAGGAAGAGGTCTTTGGCTAAAGGTCATAGCAAATCTATTTGTTTGAAGGTGTCTGGACTGTGATAATGAAGAGAGAGACAGCAGGCTGCCTTCCCAACGTTAATGTCCCCAATTTACCATCTAATTACCACTCGGCTGGCTTCATAGCCACACTTATCTAACCAAGACCCAGGCAATTTAATTTCTGATTGTATAACCGCCGCGATGGAGGGAAAGTTGGGGAGTGAGGGCAAAGAGAACGAGCAAAATGTGGAATGACGTTAATAAATTAGAGATGGAGAGAGAAAGAGAGCGACAGAGATTGGAAAAAATGTTAAATGTTGTTAATAATGTCAAGCAGAGAAAAAAACCAACTAGAAAAACAGATGTAAGAGGAGAATGCTGACACCAATTTGAAAAGTTCATGTCACTCTACTTGTGTCAAGGAAAGAAGGGGATGAAGAGAGGTGGAGTACTAGAAAAAGGAAGACAAGAGTGGGGAAAATTACCAGATAAGAGAAGTGGGGAAGTTATTTAGTTATGTAGATGAACTTTAAACTCTGAGAATTGGTGGTGAAGAATGTATGGATAGCAGGTTATTAGAGATTGTTGCAATATTGCTGCAGAAGATAAAATTAGAGGGAAACGCAAAGGAAAGATAGGAGATGACAAAACAAAAAAGTAATTTAATGTTTAAATTAAATGTAACAATATTGTTAAGATGAAAGGATGAATCTACAAGTCAAGATAAGATATGTAACTTAGGCATGCATGTTTTTTTTTGCTCAAATCTGTATTAACTAAATTCAAGAAACAACCTTTGACCTCAACATTGCTAACAGTTAGCTAGACAAAGTCTAGCACAATGCTGTCACATACTGAATTTCTATGAAGATGCTTTTTCACCTTTTTCTAATTCCTTCATTTCCTCTGAACTAGGTGACAAAACATATCGATCCATATTTTAAGGGTTATACTTGAAGTGTTATCCTCATCATTTATTTTTCTATATCAACCATCCATCTGCTTTTCTAGCCCATTTTGTTATGATACTGACCTTTCTTTCCCCATGTGTATCTCTGCCAACTACAGAATTGACAAGATAGATGACTGGAATAAAATCCCCATGATACAAAACTCAAATACCAAACACATGCATCACTACTGAACCATGGGTTAGCATACAATTATTTACTTATTCAAATAGAGAGTTACAGTTCTTAGAATGTAAAAACTAAGTTTTATATATTGTATTGAAAATATACAATAGAACAAAGAAAAATTTGTCTTATCAGGAGGATAATGATGAAGTGGTTCTTCAAGAACTCAATAACTCCTTTGGTGGATGTCTCCATTACTCTTGTTTAGTCAATTACTGTCTCAGGTATAAACAGATATGCCCTACAGAGTTAAAACATGTCACAGTAGCAAACCTTTATCTTGTGGTCTGACTGGAAGGATGTTAGATGCTTGGAAAAGAAACACCAGGACAGAGCAGTGGTGAAGGAGGTCAGTTAAGCTCAGTGTGCAGCCATGGACACAAAATCCAGCCATCAAACATTTGTGCTTGTAAATTAGATGGTGTAGCGGTGAACATATTTTTCCCGCCCATGGAACAGAATTTTATCTTTCTGCATATAAAATTATATATATATATATATATATGTGTGTGTGTGTATTACAAAAATTCATTAGGAAAAACTACACTAAGACTAAGAAATGCCACGTTTTTTGTTCAAGGAACTACAGGAAAGATTTCACCACTAGGTTGGCTGCTGAGCGCTGTCTGTAGACCAAAACAAGATGCGTGACAGGCAGTGTTGGGATTAACACGTTAAGTTATGCATTACAGTAACTACGTACATTTTGCAGTAACTAACGCTGAAACTAGTTTGTAAAAGTCACTAACGCATTAGTGTTTACTATGCTTTAAACAGATTCAGTAATAGTTACTTCCGGTCTATAAAGAAGGACTACACTTTCCTGGTTTTAGCACACATGGCACACGTAACAGCTACTGTATGCACGACTTCAGCATGAGCACAGAGGAGAGACGATAGCACAGAGCCACTGATTCACTGTCGGCGTTCCTACACTATATGCGGTAATAAAGACTTTATCAATATGGATTAGAAGCTGTAATTTAAACAAGCTCCTCACATAATCTCAACACTGACTGCTTTTAATCAACACATGTTCTTCACTTTCTCAGGACTACAAAGATTTTATGTGCATAGATTACATTTTTAACTCATAAATCCTGAGTCTTGCTGTTTTTTTTCTTCTTTTCTTTCGGGAATAGCATAACCCAGTGGCAGCTGGTGGAGTTTTCTCCAGGGGGGAGCATTAAATTCAAAATAGGTGTATACCAAAAACCAATCGAATGTACACTAAGTTATCACACCAGTATATTTATATGAATGCCAACAAGAAAAAACATTATTAAAACATTTTATGAAAACAAAAAACATAATTTCGTGTACAGGTTTTCATTTTCATACATAAACCTTGCCCTTCTGATGTTTGTGAAGGCAAATCTGGGTTTTGCATGATCAGATATGGTGTCAAAAACCTAAAACAAAATGTACTGCTTTAATAATAGACAGCTATCAGTCATCTTTAAATTTTTTTTAACATATAAAAACTTTATTTTCTGAGAATGTGTTTATTTAAGAGGAACTATGCAAATTAACAAACCTAGAAAAAGTACACTATATTATATTATTTTCAATGTGAATCCCAGATTGTTCATTCTTCTTTGCCTTTTCTAAAAAGTGCTTTAAATCAGTCCTACCCGTCTTTATCCATACTGGCTCAGATCATGAGTTTTTACCTATCCTTTTGCATTGCAGAGGAGCTACTGCGCATGTATAACTTTTAATGTGAGTCTATGGCCAAAGATTTTTGCGCCCAAGGAGGAAATACGTCACCAATCCGACGACGAAGGAAACAGCTTTACTCGTCATTAAAGATTAAATATATATCTTGCACATTTGTTTTCTTGTTTTTTTTATGTCTTTATCAAAGTCATTGGTTGGGGGGACACCAGACAAGCAGCTGCGGGGAAACAGAGGCCACGCAGCTCGCCAGCGAGGTGTTAGACCCAGGGTTTTTTTGTCAGTGGGAAGGGAGCCAAAACGCTAATTGTTAGCGGGTCGACCCATGTTTGAGAAACTCTGTGTTTTCAGTGGGAAAGGGGCTTAAGTTAGTTGCCCTTATGCTTTGCTAAGCTGTCAGAGGCATTTTATGGTCAGAGAGGGGATAAGCATGTGTCAGTTCTGTATTATGTGTCAATTAAGTATGCACCAATGTGTTATCCTAAGAATACAGCACCTTTTTACATTCAATTTGGTTGTATAATTTTTTTTGACTTTAAGAATAGAAATAATTACTTTTGGTAATGCTTCCTAGAACATTGGCTTTCTGTGGTGTAGTGAATTAAAGTAGCATTATTGAAGTAAAAAAAATAAATAAAAAAAGCTAAAACCATTTTTGTAAAATATGTTTTGCGGACATTAAATCATATGGACATTAAATCTATTGAATGGAATATTATTAATAAGTATTTTTATTTTATTTTTAATGAAAACATTCCCAATACAAAATACAAGAAAATAAAAAGATAAGCAAATAAAAACTGGTTAATGTTACTTTTCTTTCATTGGAACAATTGTAAAAAAAAAATTATACATTGACAGAAAATCTAAAGTGATGCAGAATAAAAGTATTATTTAATTTCCCTTGTGGAATAATAAAGTATTTTTGAATTTAATTAAATGAAATTCAATAAACTCTACTGAAGACAGAAAATAAAGTATATAAACAATCATTTTATAAAATGTGATGGTTTTAGGATATAAATAATTACATCTGGTGATGATATCAACAAAAATAAAAGGTTTCCGCATCAATTTGAATAGTAGGTTTAGGCCACATGGTACAGAGCTCCGATGATTCCAGATCCTAGTAGCTCTGTGATAAAGCTGAGAGATGGCTTCTTTAAAAAGAAGCAAAACAAGGCCGAGCATCAATTAAGCTTTTGAGGGTTGGCGCCAACTTAAGGAAGTAAAGAAGCTTAGAGGGCACATGGAGGTTGCAGCTTTTCTTCTGCATCAGCAAGTTAGATGTTGGTTTATTTAGCATTAGCATATCTGGGAGCTGGCTGGCACACAATTTAGAAGAAGAGCAGATGAGCATGAGTGTGTCACTTACTGGCCAGTTCAACTGTAAACAATAAATTCTTGTAGTGGAGAGGTGACTAAAAAGAAATAACAAATAAATTCATTTAAACCTGAAAAAAAACCATATAACTCAGACTAAAACTTTAAAAAACAAAACAGAGACCATAACTTAACACAGTGTGTTACTGTTTTCAAAAATAAGGCACTAATCAGACCTGACCCAGGTCAGACTGAAAAGGTTGAGTTGGATTTGTTATAGACATAGCAGCTTCGTGGTAAACATGAAACAAAACAACAGGAAGCCGAGGTAATTGGTGAAATCAATAAATACAGACAGTTTAGGTTATAGCGTCAACACCCCCTGATGTTGCTTGTTTACATATTGAGGAATGCAGTCATAAGTCTGTAAGAGCCATCCTCCCTTATTGGGAAGTCAGCCAAAAGCAGTGTAACCATGTTAGTGTCACCAATGAACACATTAGACATGAGCGCATTCACACAGAGCCGCACACCCCAGTGAGGCATCTCATGGTTAGACAACGAATCAGCAGATTTTCTCTGCAAGAGCAACACATCATTATATCTTGTTATTTTGGTGCCCGATGACTTCCCTCACAAGAGTTGTTTTTAAATTCCTGAATAGTGAATCCCCTTCTACATTATGCAGTGATAATTTTGTCTTAGTGTTGTATATTTTAAGAGGATGCAATGCATTTTTAAGTAAATATCTTCAGGAGTAGGCGACTATGCAGACATATTTCGGCACAACATGCCAATTCTGTACGCACCTAAGCTTGTCTAGCTCCTAATGCCTGTCACTAAAGTGATTACTAATGCAGGTCTGGTTTTTAAGAGGAGTAAAACGGTGGATCCTTATGCGCTCTGAAGGAGCTGAATGCAGATCACCAGCTGTGCTTCAGCTGGAAAGTTCTTCTTACTATAAGCTCCAAATCTGCATCATTTACATGGAATAATCATTCAGGTGTGTTTGAACACTGCAAATAAATCACTTCTCTCAATGTACAGTATGTAAGTGTGTTAGTATATTTATGCATGGATGTGTCTGATAGGGATTCACACAGCTGAACAAGGAATCCATGGCCTTGGAATTAAAGCGCTGCACACTGTGCTTGAAACGCACCCGTGTGTGTGTCTCTGTGCCTGCAAGGACTGCAAAGTGGTTCATTCAGACCCCGTATGCAATGAAAAGGTTCATCCAATAAACTTAACACTTCTCTCACTTCAGGATAATTTATGTTCAATGTTTTCTGTAGTTATTTCAAATATACAACACACATTAGGTCAGATAATTGCACTTTTAATTTTGGTGGACTCTGTGTGATTGTTTGCCTGTGCCATACCTGCAGATCTGAGTGCTGTGCTCAGTCATTGATATGAGCAACTTGAGCGCATAGAGCGGGACAGGTTCTGCTGCACAAAGAAGATCTTCAACCCTGGACAGAAACAAGTGGAGGAAAGTGCTGTTGACAGTTGTAATAAAATAAATTAAGTACAGGGTGAATGCAGAATAAATCTGGTATCTTAAACTGTTTGAAATATCAGAGGTAATTAAGGGTGCAAGCAGTAAATTAAAACAGTTGTGTGCAAATTATAGAATAAAAAAAAAACAAAGCAAACGATAACTGATTTGTTTTTATGCACAAATACTCAGAGAATACAGAGCACATAAAAATAACGCAAAACGTCAAGAAAAACTTGTCTGAAACTTCTTTTTACAAAAAAATAAAAATAAAAAAATAGGACCAGACTGTTCAAAAAGGGGTGGTAAGGTGGTAATGATATTATCATAATATATAATAATATTTTAATAATATTTAAATACTCTAAGAAATTAAATAAAGTGGAAAAAGCATCATAATTTACAATAAAAACTAAAGGATCTCTGTAATATCAGTGTTGGTGTCTGGGAAGAAGGACCAATGGAGGATTAAACAGATCTCTGCTGGATAATGATGGAAATCTAAGTGTTATCAGGCATCAACCAACCTCATTTGGAAAGACTATACAGCCAGTTCCTGGAGGATGAAGGACCTGATACCAATGACCAGGCTCCATGTTTTAACAACCTTATTCCAAGAGAATATCTTTAGGAATATCTTCATCCAGCAATACCAGGTTGCACCTTGGACTCTTAAGGAGCTTAGTGTCATGGTCTGGGATAAGCAGCATGCTCTGATATTTTAAGACATGCATAAAAACTATAAAAACTAAGGAGAACCATTTCAGTCACTGCAATAAAATTTCAGCTAGACAGCTAGAGGGGATGCTGACTCAGGTAGTCCTGCAATAGATGGACTGCTGGTTCAAACCCCTGTTGTGTCGGCTTTTAGCATTGTGTCCTTGGGCAAGAAACTCCACCCACCTCACCTGCTGTCCGTTGCCAGAGGGCCTCGTTTCTGTCGTTCTACCCCAGAGCAGCAGTGGCTATGATGTGGATTGCCCTATCTGTGTGTGAATGGGTGAAGGACTACGTTTAATATGAAGTGATTTGGGTTCCTCAGACTTGATCAAATGTGATAGAATAACAAGCCATTTTTCCTTTTCAAGCCACACCAGTTTTTCTTTCTCTGTGAATTTAGATCAAGTTTCTGTAGGATGATCATTTCCACCTTCATCAATGGTGCAGCATCCTGTTCTGAATTCTTTTATTTTTTGAGCAGCGCATATAAAACAACATTTAGTTTTTTAGACAAGAAGAAGAAGAAGAGCACTTTTCATTAAACAGATATTAGATGTAAACCGAAGATAGTCACAGTTAAGGTAAAGAGATTTTTATATCCAAATGCTATTTGGCACAATTTAATATCTATTTGTTTCATAAACAAAAGTTGATTAGACTCTCAAAGGTTCTGTCAAGAAAAGACTTTGGAAACTGACTAACCTTGAAAGGAGGGATTTGATGATGACAGATAAGACCTGGCCCGTCCTTCCTCTATCCCCCAAGTCTCCCTTTTCTGCTTTGTCCTCACTTTCATCCTCATCATCATCTTGCACGAGCAGAATAAGGCTGAGTTCAGACAGGACCTTCAAAACAAACACTGACCACTCCACTGAAGCCAGCAGAGAGAAAAAGAAGGAGAAAATAAATCCCTGTTTGCATTCCTTGTTAGAATACTGTAACTAATAGCTAAAATCCACACTAAACATGCAAAAAAAAACAAAAAAACAACCAAAGGCTCAAGGTTACAAATTTTAGACTAAAACAGAACGACAAGTAACAAGCAAACGAGATGCTAATGACAAACAAAAAAGCCCTTTCACCTGCCCACCAGCTCTGCTGTGTGGGCAGTGGGCACCCACAACGGCTACACATTAATGACTCACAGAGGGTCTCAAACAAAAACAGTGCAGTAAATTACTGGGAGGGGGATTTATACAAGGTACTGGAATTTCTCTACCTTAAAAATTCAAGGTTATCAGCTCTAACTCATAGTCTCACTTCTTATTTGCACTTTATTCCAAACTACCACTCTGACTCATTCATCCCACAATCTTTTTCTAGGCGCATAACTGTTGATATGTTACTAATATTTTCCTTTGTTTTATAAAGAATATAATAAGTCATGATATAGGAGATGAAGTAAGGAATATATTTGTCTGTTTCCCATCGCTGCAAACTTGCTGTTCAGTCTCTCCTTACTTCTTTCCCTCCCCACTTGGACGTTAGCCTCTCTTCCAATTGCTATTCTGTGTAATTCACTTTATTTAAAGTGACAAACCTCACATACCATTTCTGCTGAAAGCCAGGGTTGTCAGAGGAGGTAGGATAGCGTCCACAACCTTAAAGAACAGAAGGAGACAGAACATGGCTGAATCATTTACCATCTGGTGATACAAGAGTCCAGCAGTAGATAACATAAATCAAATTAAGTATTAACAGAGGAAAGATGGTACGTAAGCCAACTAGAACTGTCCTAAATGGGGTATAAAAGCTATGATTGATAATTATCATAATGAATGAATGCTCTGTTGCAAGCTTAAAATCTTAAACATATAAATTAGGTATTCTAGGGGCTGAAACTACCAGCAAGTTATAGAAAAGCAGAGGAAATATCAATGGGTACCACCTAAAAAACATCTTATTTATTACCAGGAATCCCTTTTTAGTAACCTCTACAGCACAGTCGCCTTTGCATTGGCTGGTTTTAAGATAATGGTGTACCACTAACAATAATTCTGCAATAAACAAGTGGAAACGGTAACAACCAAATAGAATAATAAACCAAATAAAATAATAAGGAATCCCTCATTTCATTAACTTAGCCTCATTTTATTGCTTATTTACACCATTTTATTTGACACCACAGACTTAACATTGGTGGAAAATGCTTTGATGCAATCCTGATAAAGACTAACAGATTAGCATTTCAAGATGCTCGCTTAAGTTAGCAACTCTCTAACAAGTCCCTAGCTTCAACCTCTACGACCTGCTGATCTGAATTTTTTACTAAATTAAAATGCCAAGAGAGTTATTGATCTGTAAAATATTGTTGCTTATAACCTGTTTTAGAAGTACAACAATAAAAAAAATCATGATCTATCCCTTTATTATAATTTTAACAGCAAATTTTTTAGTCTTATGTGGGAGGAAGAAAGTAAACATCTCCTGGGAGATAAACCGGCTGTATTTCTGGAACCCTGCATGGCATTTACTCTGAAGGCACCAACCGAGCAGACCGCTGTCACAGAGGGTCAAATTATTATGGAAATTCACTTCTGAGTGGTTGGCTCTCATTTATTTATTTATTTTAGGATCAAACAGACTGATTGTCCATAGCTGTCAAACCCCTTATTTAGGCAGGAACTGTATACCACAAATTTGCATGATTACTAACATTGCCATAGAAACAACACCAACACAGAGGCAGAGTGTGAGGTCATTACGCTAAAAGCTCAAGAAAGGAAACTACAAAGGATGTTGCCCACTACCTAATGGTCTGCAAATTAATAGCGCAGGCATCAAAAGGCCAGTTGTTGGGAGTGTGTGTATTTGTTTGACCCATTTTACATTGATAGCCTTCTGTCTATTGTCCAGCGGTGAAAACAAATCCCCCCGAAATATAATATCCCGTATCATTAGCAGGAAGATGTTGAGATGCATTTATCAAAGCCAGTTTACTTATGGAACCCCAGTGGTTCCATAAACAAAACATTTTACCAGTTTGCATAAAAAGCTGAATTAGACAGGCAGGCAATTATAATTGGGAATATCAATCAAATTCGTTTGTTGTGTAAAATGCAGTGAGATGACAAAACAAAACCGAACTGAATTTATGAACAAGCAGCTATATCAACAGATTTAGAATGTGGAATATAAGACTAGAGAAATGATGTACCAAAAGATTTATCTTTAAAAAAATATATAATATTATACAATATTAGTGGTACGAATTTAGGACCACATCTTTTCAAACCTCAAGCCTATAATTTAGGGAGCCCAACCATGTCACACTGAGTGGTAAATAGGTGCTCTGTCTAAATATCTAAAATTTTAGCTCCTACCTCCTGGTTCTAGCTCCTATCCCTTTTACCTTGTGCTGGGACATCAATAAGAACGCTATTCAGGGTAGGAAAGGAGCCCCGGACAAGAGTAAATGTGAAGAAATAACATATTTTTGTTGAGCATTGTTTTGATGCAAAGGAGTGTGGGCAACTGTATAGCTCCTAGGGGCGGTCAGGGAAATCAGGAGGTCCCTATGCTAAATAAATTGGCACTAGGAAGCATTCAGCTTTGCCTTCCTTACTGCCAGAACTATTTGAATAGCACTTATTATAACAACCGCTGAGACTCTTCGACCGTGGATTAAGTGTCCCATTGGATTCAAGGTATTTGGACCTAGTCAGGGGCTTTTTGGGGCAAAGGATCTTTATAAGTTTCAACCACACCAGCCTCTCCAGGATGCAATTACCCTGCTCTCTAACTATTTGGCTCCCTCCCCTTTAATGCATCCTTATCTTTACAAATGCATATGTATTGCAGTTACATATACTTAATTGTAGTCATCAGTTATTGTTGGCAGTTCTGTTTTCAAACTACCTAGCATCTCTACAGGTTTACAGTGTATAAGATTGATGAATCTGATTTCCAGCAACATTTTTTCTGTTTATTGATACCCACTTTTCTTGTCTGATTAATGTGCCGTCTCGGTTTAGATGACAATAGAATTAATATAGGAAGGTATTGGAGCAAAAAGGTTTGGAAAAAAGACCAAATGAACAAGAAACTTTTCTTATTCCACAAACACTGTTGAGAAGTTAGAAGTCTTTTGGGCAAGAGTCCACGTCCTTGTCCAGAAGCAATAAAAGCTAATCTAAGCTGGCTTGGGGGTAATTAAAGTGTCTTCCTGTGTTATTGACAATCAGTGGCTGCAAGTCTCCTGTTTCCACCGTCGTCTGTTCCTCATCTCTTTATTTTCTTCCTTTTTCATCCTCTCTGCTTCCTGCAGCTCTCCATTCCCATACGTCAATAGTCATTAAATACAGCCTCATTGTTCCATTCTATGCACATCCTAGTTTGCACAATACATCCACAAATCTGATGGGGTTCTCTTGGCTCAATATTTGATTAATTTCTTGCCAATAGCTTGTATTTTGACCCTCTGTTCTCAGATATACACAGACCAGACAGGCAAAAAGGAAGGACAGACAGCCTACAATACTAGAAGCTGTAAATGGATAATCTCACAAACTAGGCAGATTACATTACATAATTTAGCCATTTAGAAGCCACCTTTACGAAGACTGACTAAATCATTGATGGATAACATTGAAGATTTAGAAAAGACACTAAACTATATGTTTTAAGCTTTAACTAGGTTAAACAGGAGCCAGGTTAAAGGTAATGTGTTTGGAGAAAATGAGATTTCAGAGAAGAAAAGGCCCTGAGACCCCCTCTTAGAGTGCATAAGGATCTACAAAAATGTCTATATCCACACAGTAGTTCCTAAGGCAGTGTTCAGGACCCTGCTGAAGCTCACAAATCAACAACTGTCAGGTCTGGAAGTCCTCTGTAGAAAATACATGCTGTAAATATAAGACAACATAAATAAAGTGTCGGTTGTTGATGCTGCATGTTTTGTCCTACCATGTTCAATCAACTAGTGTTTGCAGGTTCAAGCAATGGTGTATCTCTTCAGCTGGTATTCAGTCAGTAAGAAGCTAAAACGTTTGGAACCCGTGTTCAAGCATAGCAGTTTTTCCCTCACCCTCTGGGGCCAGGTTCTGCCTCAAGAAGAGAAGTTTAAGTAGCCTGGCTACTGGTTCACTAGTAATGGCAAGATGGCGTGGGATACAGACAGATGGCAAATAAAGCTCTCTATCTACCGCTCTTTTTATTGTCTGAACCCCACCTAAGGTGAATTATGGCTAAGAGAGTGAGATCCTGGATTCGCTAGTGGCTGAAAGAACTTCCTCAGTAGGGGGGGCCTGCTTAGCATTAGAGATACTGTAGGGAGATACATTGCCCAGCAGAGGATGAAGGAGAGATAGGGGATTAATTAAAATGACACTATTGTTTTGCACAGAGAAATAAAAAAACACCAGTCTGCCCCTGTGATTTCACAGGTCTTTAGTTTATAGATTTGATGTCTTAGGTAAAAAAAAGTATTAATATTGAAGTTATTTTGAACTGAGCATCCAACCTTTTCATTAGAAAAGGGCCAACTGCACCTCCGTTTTCCTTCCCAGGGTAGATCTGAGCTCCCTCTGTGTTGAAAGCTTCCCCAATATTTACTTTGGTTTTATTATGCTTCTGATCAGACTCCAGTTTGACCCATTTCGATGCATAAGACAAAAGTTTTACTTTCTTTCTCCTGTGTGGAGTCGGTGACGGGGTATGAAGTGCACCTGTGGCTGGTCTTATGTGATCCGTCTTTAGAGAAACTCGCCTGTGTTCTCTCACTAATACACCAATGGCAGCTTAGACAGAGAACAAGAGCACAGTGCGTCCCACCCACCCGCAACCACACAAACCAACCCTAATCATCCTTTAACAAACTGACCAACTAAGTGTATAGACGCAACTGGGGTAAATACAGGAAAGCTAATTTTACATTTAGGGTAACTGTAAAGGCATATATGTGGAACAAAAATGACTATTAAGTTTGTGCAATAAACCTTTAAGGAAAAGAAAAATCCAGCCACTAGAAAAGGAAAATGAAATATAATGATTAAAAGCCACAGATAGTCCCTTCATAAATGTTTCATTGTACCTTAGTTTACTCCAGTACATACAGGCCTGCTGGACGGCTTATCGGGTGGATATTCAGATAGATAACCAATAACCCAAACATTCAGAGAGGCCAGAATCAGAAAACAGATACTTACAGCATAATGATGCTGAGTGATTAGAGTATGATGCTGACTCAGGACCTCCACAATGGACAGAGATGTCCTAATCAGCTCTTGGCATATTGCAGCACCTAATGAGAAATGAAACTTATCAGCAGTACCCAATCTAAATGGAGAGATTAAACTCCCTAACTGCTGTAGGTGGTTGAACGCTGGTTCAGTTTAGACATGTACTTGGAATTCAGAATTCACACATAGAGTATCATTGATTTTCTCAGCAACACATATGAGTATATGTTTTTCTGAGTAGTTAAAGCACACATATTTTAGGCTTTAGCACAACATTTATAGCCAATCTAACATTAACAATAAATGAAATGTAAACACATTAAAAAACAATTACTAACAATGACTAATAACTAAGTAGAGCGTTTGACTTCAAATAAAACTGCAGATTATGAATGAGCATATATATGACATAAAGAATAACAGACCTACAGCACTGGACAGGTTAGTTTCACTGGAATCCACTGAAATAATGTAGTTCTGAAAGAAGAAAATATCAAAAACATAAAACTCTTATTAGCTCTTTTGCTGTAGGGAGAAAAATTTGTCTATGGAGTGAGAGGTTGTGTTTTTGAGTTACATCTATGTGATTTCTGTGATGAATTGAGCAAATTTGGCCTGGAATATGACATTGTACCAACACGTGAAGGCCAAAGCCGATAGTTTGCAATGAAAGGCTTAAAAAACATTTTGAGATAAAACAATATAAAACAAAACAAAGAGTTCAAATTATGTCATAGCATGACTGGTATCACTGTGTGGAGGTTGCTGCAGTGAAAAAAGCACAAAGGAATCTGTTTTGAAGACGTTCTGCAGTTCAGTTAAAACATTTATTGAACTTGTTTTTATGAGTAAATGTCATATAATTTAGTGCCTTAGTCTATTGCAGCTGAAATTGCTTAAATATATATTAATGTAAAGAAAAACGTCCCCTAAAAAACCTTCAATGTGCTTAGAGAACAAAGTTGTTCTTAACCAGTGTTTTTACAACTGTAATATTTGTAATCCAACCTAAACAGTATAAACAATTAACATTAAAAACATCAAATAATTTCAATTTTGGGGGGTTTTTGCCTTTAATGGATTACAAAACACTTACCAGCAGCAATCCCATTTGAACCAGAAACTCCTTAGTTACAATTCGAGCTCTAAAGGCCTGAGGAGAGACAAAACGCCCCATCAATAGAAAAACTAAGTAGGTGATGACAGATCAAATGTAGGTTAAACCCTCACTTATTTGTCCATGTTGAATTTATTGACTTAAACTAAAACAGAATCAAAGCAGTTAATAATTTATATTAAACACATAGTAATTGATGTTTTTCTTCAGTTTATTTAGTCTTTAAAGTTTTCTTTTTCATTTGAACCAACTTGTTAAATTTATATTAGCGAATGAGTACAAAAAACTATTGTATAATGAATATAAGAAAAGAAAAGTGTAGAATGAAAGTAAAGTTTTTGTACGCAAACATTTGCTCTCTTATTAAGCCTTTTCTCATTGTGTTCAAAGATCCCCTGCTTTCAAACTGTAAAATAAGTTGCTTCTAAAAAGACATACAGAAAAAAAATCAAGTTACCTGGGATGAAAGGAGCTCTAGGACCACAGTAAATGTAGGCAAAGTCTGTTTAAGCTGTCTGCTCTGAGCTGCAGATGGGTGTTTCCTCCCAATAACATCTCTCAGCACAGACAAGACATCCTCTTTAAAAGAAGGGCACCAGATAAAGAAATAAACAGGAGGAAATCAATACAAATGGTTGGTAGCAGTGATGAATGATATTAAGGAAAAAATACAGAAAAAGCCAATGGCAATGGTGACTTATGAGCACATATGTTCTTTTAGCCCCTGTTGTTCCTTCCTGTTCCAGCCCTATCAGCTGTTATAATGTAAACATAATGTGGTAGAAACTGACGGCTTAAATCACCAAATGTAGAATCAGCTAATCAAATCTATTTCCCTGGCACAGACAGGCTATAAACCTTGGGTGATGCTGATAATGTAAATGTGACATTTCCAAAATTATAATGCTTTAGAAAAAATCTAACTTACTCAAGTTCAGGCTTTAAGCTAATGCCATTTTTATTTTACAAAAAAGTATTTATTTCCCTTTAGAAATCCCTATTCACCTGAAGTGTGTGTTAATGTTTGCTTGTGTGAGAGTTAATCTAAGCGCACCTGTTATCAGTGGCGCAGCGTGACTCAGATGCAGAAGCAGCAAATCCAAACACTGAAGGAGGTATCCTGACTGGCTGGGGTTGTCTCTGACTGGGGTGGCTTTCCTCAGGTCTCTCTCCAAATACATCACAAGTCTGTACAGACAGAGGACAAGGATTGTGCTGCTGCAGTCGGATCTTAACACAGACTCACGGTGGACAAGAACGTTGTTTTCATTTTGGGAACTTTATCAACTGAACCTTTTCTTTTTCCAGGAAAGGGTTATAAACTTCAGACTTTTCAAAGCAAGAACTGGGTGTGCTGGTTTGGATTTATTTAGGATTTACTCTGATCTTCAAAGGGTCAAGACGATACATAAAAGCTTAAATACATCCATCAGCCAGACTTGCTTTCACCCCTTTTGCCTTCAGAGCCACAGTAATTCTTGGTGGCATAGATTTGACGATGTGTCTTTTACTTTCCCCAGAAAAATCACCTGAAAACCTCAACAGCAATATCATTTATGATGAACCCACATACTCCCAATGCTTTTCTTTCTTTACAATTATATAATCTCTCCCATCATCTCCCCATAAGCTTTAGCATATCAGTTACTCAAGACATATACATGTGGGCAAAAAGACTAATAGAATCCATCCAATTGGCCAAATAATATGTAAAGTGCCTGAGGGTCTAACTCTTGTGATAACTTTACATCCATGTAGATTTTATGCAACATTTGTATAAGCATCTCTAAAGTGCTAATAAGGAGATCAAAGTGTGTAAAGAAAGTGTCCACCATACCATTAATCTACCACCAAAAACCTAAACCCAGCTTTTCTGCAGTTCATATCAGATTATGACTTTACTACCTAATTGTTGCAGCTGCATTTGAGCCGTCACATTTTTTTCAAAGCCAGAATTGTTCAAGTTTGGTAAACCTTTGTCAGCCCCTGTTCAGAGCTCTGTGAAAAATAATCATTAGGTACTAAAAAGTAAGCTCAAACAAAAATACATACCAAGAAGATAAAACCTAACACCCATCTTTCCAAGGTGGTGAAGGTTTAGAGGCACAGGTAAAGGGTACGAATTGGATAGAAATGGGGGGGGGGGGCAGTTTGGGTCATCATAACTGGTCCGAGACTGCATAAAGAATGGTACTATTAAGCTTCTATAGATCTATATCTTAGAGCCAATGAGATTCCAAAGACAATGAATAAAAGCAGGGTCTGTGGCAGAAAAACACAGATTTAGATTTACTGCAACGCTAATAAGGAGCCCGGTAATAATAAAATAAAAGAGGAAGATTGCGGAGAAGTAATATCATTTCTTCCTTTAACTTCCGATGGGAGTAATGAAACATTTTATATTCACACAGTAGAAGAAAAAAAAAAAGAGTTAAAGCTAGCAATAATACTCTCTTCATTACTGACTTAAACAGGGCTTCATTAAAGTAAGCACAAACATAAGGACAGCTAATATCGGTATAACCACTGGTTTTATGAGCTTTAGAGTATTTGCATTGAAAATATTAAAATTCCCATTTTCATGACGACTGCTGTGTAGAGGCACAGTGTGCAAACAAATCCAGAGCTGTGCATGCAAAGCCTTCTATTTATAGTGAATGCTGTCTAACCTCAGAGACACTTTCTTGACTTTTTAACACCACCTCTTATTAAAATTTTACAGGCTGGAAAATTGGAAGCAGAGGACCCTTAATCTTTTATAACCCTGAATTTATTTATATTTATAAACCATCTTCTGTTTTTAAGACAACCATGTCATTGAGGGTTTGTTGAGTGGGGGCTGAAATACCTGAAGATTTATTTGAAAATTTAGATCTATGGGTACACCTAAAAATAAAATCAGAATGTCATCAAACAGTTCGACATTTTGTGTCACCAATTCCACCAACTAAAACACATATATTAAATAGGTTGTTTGACCACATATATTGTGAAATACTTTAATGTCCTATTTCGTGGAACTCAGTGTACTTCGGTGTGTTAGAAAATTCCAGTTTTCTGAAAAATCAAACACTGGAAACTCATTGTGTCACCCCTTAAAGATGGATTAAAGTCTTTAACTAAAACTGCTCTCTTGTCATCAACTACCATCAATAATAATCCTGAGATATTAAGATACCAGTGATTAAAAATGAAGCAGTTTTTAAAAGAAAAACACTCTTTTGACAGTTTCTCTTTTGTCCATATTAAGGCCAAAAGTGTGATGTCATTCTGTGACTTTGCCAAGCCAACATGGCGGATATACAGACTGAAACGGATAGCGGTAGTGACAGATATACTTATGAATCTTCATCAAGTGAGTGAGTATGAACGAAGGTCCTGCAACTGAGCCTGGTGCCTCGACAGGCAAGGAACATGTTCAGTTTTTTTTTTCTAGGGCACTTAGAAAGTGAACTTGGTGAGTCCAATCTGCACAGTGAATTGAATTGTGCAGATTGGACTCACCTGGTTCCGTGGCTGGGCAGAAAAACCATAATGCATGGAGATGACTTGTTGACTCCACATTTCCTACCTTTGGTATTCTGTTTTCTCAAAATTTGGCTGAAGGATCTGATACAATTTTATGTAATTTGTTAATAATAACCATCCAGTTCTTGTTGTGAAAAAATGAAAGCTCCCTTCCTCTTAGTAACTAACTTCTCATCCCATCTTTAGAGCAACAATGCGATACTTTTGACACAAGTATTGGCTCATTTTCAGATATGTTAAATAATTTTGGGGGGAATACACAGCAATTGGTCGGTATTATTGGTCATTACAGGATGACCTTCTAGAAACTCCCATATCCAAACTGACAGGGTTGGATCCGTCTTTGAATGAGTCATGTGACCCTGACCACTGCTTTATGGCTGAGCTCGTCTCAAACACCAGAGCTAACAGAGCTAAAAGTTGTTGTTAGGAAACAAAACAGACACTTGCCTGTTCAAACATGTTTTTGGGGCTCCTAAAATTCTACCAGCACATTAAATCGGCCACCAGGGTAACCAGGACTCACCTAGACAACACCATTATTAAGTTTGCAGATGATTCTATGATAATGCTTATCTCAGGAGGAGATGAGAATACTGTAGCTAACAGGGGGGAGGTGGAGCATCTGTCTGCATGGTGCATGGACAGCAATCTGACTCTGAACACCTCTAAGTCAAAATAGTTCATCCTGAAGAAGGTACAGCAGAGACAGATCTTCCTGAGGATTCTCAGAAAGAACAACCTGAGACCAGAGCTGCTGCTGTCCTACCGCTGCTCTGTGGAGTCGATGCAAACCTGCAACATCTTGTTTTAGTTCTACTGTCATTGATTGACCAGCACTCTGGCCTGAACCCAAAAGGGAAGAGAAGAAAAGGCACATACAGTAAGATGCTGTAAAGCTTATGGCCTCAATGTCACACAGCAATTCTTCCAAAAGGATGACCAATCATCTCTGTTTAGCTTTCATTTTGATCAGTCTAATGTTATAATCTAATTTCTTGTCACACTGAATTCTAGGTTTTACGATCTGTAAGTAATGAGCCATTATTACATAAGAAAAATGAAATGTTTCACCCAATGCATTATCAATTTCTATAATAAACTTCACTTTCTAAAATGAACATATATTAGAAATATTCTCATGTTGTTGAAACCATACATATAAATCTTAAAATATAACAAAAACACAATTTATGAGGCATTTTCAACACCCAAAAAACTCCTTAAGAAAAAAACTGACACTACCGGTAATTCTAAATGTAAATCTATTCAACATGAGACTGAATATAAGGGAAGAAATTATATAGATATTGAACTTTTTCAAAACATTTAGATATTTTTAAATGTATATTTGAGTTAGGCATTACATTAACAGCCTTTGTTAGCCTCTTTTATCACCTGCCTTACGTCTTAAACCTCAAAGATCAGCTCCTAGGATGACCAAACCTTTATCTAATAACACCAATAATCAGTAAAAATACCAAATTAGTAAAACTCTATACAGAGATGTTTATAGAATTCATAGTTTTGGTAAAAAAAAAAAAGAAAAAAAAAAACATAAATACAGTCAAAGCATGTTTTCATCGCACTGCGATGTTAATATTTGAGGACTACTCTTTCACATGATCTCATCGCAGGGTGTGAATAAACCAGCCATCATCCCAGGCTGCTGTAAAAAACTTTCCACCATTTAGTCACTGACTGCAGGAGAAGCTCCTCACATGAACTGACCTACAAGTTGCCCACTGTGTGGCTGAGTGGGTGTGACTGAACATCCTGAAAGCCATCACATTCCACCCTCACTGCCAATCTTGACACCTCTCGGTGAGATTTGAGACAGTTTATCTCACAGAGACAGGCACACATATTTTCATGTTATCGAGGTGCTAATTAAACACAACGCCAGCCTGTGAGAGAGTGAGACTAAAATATGTGTCTCTGTGTGTGGTTGAGTCATGCGGTGTTCTCAGCGGGAGATAGACAGGCAAACCAAATCTGAATTCTCCAACTCAGCTTAGAGAAAGAGAGCAAGCAAAGGGAGGAAAAAAAAAACAGCCGGAGGAAATGAAAAACAAAAACATTGACGTTCTATAATCCTGCTCTAAAGTAATAAAGGAGGATCTGTTTACATGTGGTACAGTAAGCAAATCAACATGTGATGTGTCATAGATGGCGGTGGGTTGAAAAGAAGAGACGGATCAAAATGATCACAAACTATTTTTTTTTTATATTTCCATCTTCTAACACTGTTTATTTCTATAACTCAAATTTGTATGAAATCCTTTTTTTCATATTTGAGATATTTCCAGTGTGACAGTGTGTAGATGAGAAGTAAAACAGATCATGTCATCTTTTATTGCCTACCTGAAGTTAAAAACTTGTTTGCTAAAAATGTTTAAAATCCTGGAGAAATGAATGAAGAATATCTTCTCACATTTTGTTAAAATTTAATTTAAGTCAAAGTCAATAAAGTGGCATTACGATACAAACTTGTGTTTATGAGATACATTTATATAACCTAAGACAATGTTTACTCTAACTTTCCATGTGTGTGTGTCCATGCATCTGGGCATACAAACAAGCCCAAAGTTCACTCAGAACCACTGTGACCAACATCAGATTTGCACGCTGAAGCCGTACACCAATATTAAACTTGTTATAAATCCAGCATCATATCAAGTTACATTTTTTTATTAAACAAATAAGAGATTACTGCAGCAATATCCATAAGTTTACTTTGAATTTAAGTGACTGGCCCACATTGAAAGAAGAAAACAAAACCTCATGAGATGTGTAGTATGTTGTATGTAAGAGTTTTGCTTTGGCCAGTTTGATGGTCCTGTTCTTGAGGAAATGAGACGTTACACCTTCCAACATAACTTTTTGTTCACATTAAAACATTCATGTTCTGCACGATGAAATGTGTGCTGTAGCTTGTGAAACAGCATAAATTCCGCTAACTTTGTCTAACTTTTTTTTCTAATAAGAATCCATTATAAAACAGAATAAGCATTTAATGATTAATATCCATAAATAAAAACAATTAAGAAATGTCACTAGAATATGAACACCTGAAATGTTTCATGTCTGTCCTTCTTACTTCTCCAATGGTTTTCCAAATATGCAACTTTCACAGCTTTCTGGATGCTGTTTAGATATGATTTATTAAAGTCGCAGGGAAGCAGCTGATCCAAGCGTTGCATTTACGAATTCTCCCGAGTGGTGCACGACTTTACTCAAAGTATAAAGTGATTGATGTGATTGGTCGTTTATCAAGGGGGTGGGATTGTTGTGGTGGAAGATTCGCAAGAAACTTTGGTTGTGGCCGGTGTCACGGAAGCATCTTGCTAACCAGTTAGCAACTTAGTGCTAGTAGGTTCCCAATGGGAAATTACATGGGGACCAAGTAACACTTAGAAACAACAATGTCAAGGAACACTATGGACAGCTGAAACATGAAAAAGAAGGAGGGTTTTGTGTCAGAGGTCGTGGATGAGTCTCCTCCATCATACATTTTTTATTTAGAGGAGAAAAGCGGGGCCGAAGATGTTGTGGAAGAGGACGCAAGGGCGGCAGAAGCTTCGTTTGGTGTAGAAGGCTTACAGCCAGACATTTTTGAACCCTTGTCCGCAACGCTGCCTGTTCTGTTAGCTCTACGCCTGCTGAAGACATAGACGTCCATCCCTGTGAACACTGGGATGGAACTCAATGGTAAAGGAAATAATGATTCTTATTTCTTATTTCAACCGTTGCGTAGCTGCGACATTTGGTTTAAGATGCTATGACTGAAAAAATTTGATTGAAAGATGATCGTTGAAATATGATTGGCCGAATTTAGGTGTATAAGCTGACGTATAACTAACTGGCCTGAATAAAATAATGAAGACAAAAAAAAAAACAGATTTTAAGACAGGATTTTTTTAAAATAGAAATGTACTAAATTTTGTGACAATATCATCTGATAAAGAGTACATTTATATACATGTTTAAGCCAGAATAATCTGACATTCAAATATGACTTCCCTACGAGTTTAAGCTAAATCCTCTTTCATAATCAGCACTTGATGCTTGAAATGTAGCACAAATATCCACAGGCTTTGAGATCTCCTTCAGCTCCTCACATCTAAGTGCTACAGCCACTGTATCTGAGAATGTGTAGATTGACCATTTCTGAAACTTTTTGCTTCATCATGTATTTAAGTTTTCCATGAAAGACAAAAACAGAAATATCCTGTGGAGCATAGCGCTGTGTGGTGAACAGGTGAATCTTAAACTATGTGAATGTTGGATAGTAGGGCTGTAGAAACTGCCCTGTTCTGGAAGCCTGGACTCGTCAATAATTGGGGCTGACATATATTCTTCTTACTGCTGGATTACTAATTTAGGAACCTTTAGCTCCTTGGTGTGCTGAATAAAGGCAATTGGAGATTTTTTTTAAAGGAAACTTATGTTTTATTAAACATTATCCTCCGAATAAAACTTTTAAACGTACTAGTTTTTTATTAAAAAAAAATCTAGTGATATTTTAAACTTTGACTGGAGAGAAGATCATGCTTCAGAACAGCTGATTTTCAATGAAGCCAGCTGGCACATCTAGTATCCAGCAGGTTGAGGTCATAAGGACCAGATGCTATTAAATATAAATATATATTTTATTTAGTATATCTATGGCAAACACAAACGGCTGTTCAGCATTTCTCTATATTATGTCACAAAATTTGGAGGGGAAAAAAACTTTTTTTCATTGTTGGTTTAACGTTAAAAAAATATGAGTGATACATTGGCTGCTACAGTGGAAGAAACCAGCAGAATAGATCTAGAGTAAAATTATTAGAAGATAACAGTAAGACTGAATGGACTCCAACATCGATAACCCTTTTCATAAATTTGACCTTTAATTCTCTGCTTCTAATGAAACCTGGAAAACTTGAAAACAATTTAATTCTCTAGAATGCGCTCACAGACAGCTGCTTTAGTAATCCACAGTAATGCTCATTTAAGATCCTAGCCACCATTAAAATATGACTCCTTTTTTTCCCATCAACATAATTTATGAGTAATTTAAGGCATAGTGTAAGAAAATTTGGAAGCAGGTTTTGCAATAAGGTTTTTACACTTCAGGTGGTTTTTGGCTTTTCTCTCGAAGTAAAGAGGTAACCTTTCATGACTTATCAGCTGTTTGGGCATCTTCCCAGAGAATATAAAGGGCTTCTTTGTCTATGGCTCTGAACAGCATTTTAAATGACAGATCATTACAGCCTGATGGCAACATATTCCTGAAAAACTTCCTGTTCATTTTTGCTATGCATAAAATCATCCTAGCTACTTTCTACTTTGCTTAGACTAGTTCACTTGCTCAAAACCAGTAAAAGAAAACAATGTTTATTTGCATTTCCTTCCTCTTTTTTTTCATGACATTCTTAAAGTTTACGCAAAATTTGTAAGGCAAATATTCTGAATGGCATCCTGTATTATTTCATAGTAAAGCCCTTAAAAAAAACTGAGATGATCCCAACCTTCACCTACAAAGTTCTTCTAAAACTTCCAATTGTAAGATTTTTCTAAACAGGATCAGTTAAATAAAATGATCAGCAGACTGTTAACGGGGAGAAGGGGAAACAGTAGATGCAGTAAAAGACAGCTAAAAAATAAAAATCCATTTTCATTCATCCAAACATGTTGAATTGAAAAGCAAAGGGATTAGAACATGTTTTGGGAATGAACTGTATGGATGCATAACTGCAAGAATAAAGCACACCCAAGTGATGAGAAGCCCCGGCACATTTACTGCTGCAGTGCAGCGAGGCGAACCGCAGGACGAAGCTGCTAAGGAATAAATTGATGTTTGGAAAAGCCAAAATATAAAAGTAGCCAAATTATTGTGTGGGGATTATTTGCATATATTAATAGTCCCACGGTCACTGTACTAGTTTTACACAAGGGTCACATTGAGTACAACAGTTTTGCCAAAACCTGCAGGCAGCATTTTGTTAAAACATGCCGCCCCTGTAAACTCTTCCACAGATCGATAAGCTATAAAGCATCAGAGTTAGAAGTTTTAACCTGGGTTTGATTTTAAAGGGTCTGATGCTTTAAAACATTTAATATATAAATATTTCTTCAGCCACTGAAAGCAGATATCTATTTGTTTTACCACAGAGAGCAGGGAAAGGGTCACTCCAATAGTGCTGTTGCTGGGTAAGAACACAACCGGACTCAAAGCTACGATTAAATAATTAAAGGGAAATCTCACCCTGAAATGGAATCCAAAAATGCAATGTGTTTTTTTTTTCTCCGACAGTTCAGCCTGTGTGTGAACGTTTACGACTACATTCCAGAAAAGCTAATTAGCTAGCGGTCTGCCATGCTGACTGCGGTTAACAGTAAGTTTCTCTTAGTACAGTCAGACAGCAGGAGGCTGTGCAGTGAAATGTTTGGAGTTAGGGAAAGCACAGCAGGCAGGCATCGTACTCCACAGACAGGGAATACAGTCCAATTTAAAGAGCAGACATCTTTCATCAGCCAGGCAGGAGTTCTCCGGTACCTCAGTAGTTTTAGTCTGAATACCTCAGAGGTGATACCAAGTCAGATACAAATGGCAGCTTGTTTAGTTCTTTAGAGGGATCTAACTGATGCAAAATAGTCTTTGATGGATAAATATCCATATAACGCAGACATATCTCTATTTGTGTTTTCCCTAGCCAGCTGATTGTGAAGCCTGGTGTGTGTGCATTGTTTACCTGTGCTGACAGCAGTAAAGCAGCATGTGTGTGTTGTCCTGGATCAGCAGCAGCACCAGCAGCATTGCTTTGGCTCTTGTTACAGCAGATGGGCTCTCAAAGCAGCGCAGCACATTCAGAACCAGGTCCTAAACAAACCAAACAGAATCTTACCAAAGTCTGCTTTGGGACAAAAAAACGTATAACTAGTCTCAAATATATTTTAAACAGACAAACCAAAAAAATGCAGCATTTTGTATTATAAAACTTCACATAGTAACATGAAACACAGTGAAGGTCACATTTATTGGCACAGTTTGAATACTTTAACTTTAAGTTTGTAGTCTATTACATTCTGTTCTATTCCTGGTAAAGATGTTTAAAAAAACTAATTACACCATTACATTTCTGCTTCTTTATTTTGTTAAATAATCCTTTAGATTAAAACCACTGGTGGTGTGGGTGATCAATATCTTGAATGTATGGTGAGAGGTATTTTTGACCTTTGCTGTTGTCCTGAGTCCCTTCTTCAACTCTGAAAACACCATGAAAAATGGTGTGTATAGAGCAAGGTTATCATCGTTAACTAAAACGAACAAAATAGTAGAAAGTAGAATTAAAAATATTTGTCAATAACTGAAATAAAAATAAAAACAAGACCATCTGTTATTGCACCCAGTATGAAAGTTGTATTAAATAAAACACGGGAACTATAACTAAATAATATCTAGAACTATTAAAGAATTTTAAAAATGTTTTTAAAAATGTAACTTAACTAGCTAACAAATACTAGAAAAAGGAATTAAAACTCAAGTAAAATGGAAAATTAGAAGCCAAAAGTAAATTAAAAAAGTATAAAACGTTAACCATTGGTATGCGGTTCATCCTGGGTTGATTTGGCCTATTTGTTTCGGGTCATCGTTTCATTGAAAGAGGCCACTAGACTTTTATTTGACAGGCCTGTATTTCAGTCTGAAAAAACTCACACGAAAAGAAAAAGACAATTAGAATAACTTTATTGATACAATTATTTTAAGAGTTTGGCGCTCAGACCTTGGCAGGAAACATTAGCGCTGAATTTAGCTTTAATATGCCTAAGCAGGTGTTTGAGAACAGGGATGATTCCCCCGAGGCTTGAATCTGGTGGTGGAGTGGAGATAAAGGAAGTTGGTTCAATCCATAGACTGCTAGTTTACGAGACGGTCTGCTTGAGCTGAATTAGTGAGATCCAGTAGACTGTGTGAGCTGATACTAGTGCTTCACTCAGGACCCGGAAGATAGATGTCAAGTTTGGATAAACAAAGGATTGCATGAACCTGTTCACGAGGAGCAAGCAGGAAGCGACAGTGGACAGGAAAAACTCCCCTTTGGGAAGAAACCTGGCAGAACCAGGCCCAACATGGCGGTCCTCTGCCGGTTGAAGTGTGGTGGGGAATGCAGCAAGAGTCCTGGAGGAATTACACTCTGATAGGGAGGAGGTTGAAGAAGCACCATGGAAAAGCCAGATAGAGCTTAGCTACGATGGTGGAGAAAGGGATGGGGGTGAGTTAAATCTGGGTCATCTGAGTCAAAATCAGACACAGCGCAACCATTGCTTACTCCTGGCTCGGCAGCAGGCCAAGTTCGTGGACCCTGAGACCTTTTAAGATGAACTCTGGATAATAATTGGGCTTCATGGAGGTGCAGTTCAAAGCTGATTGGTTTGCATCAGAGGCAAATGAGCCTCTGATGATGAAGCAAGTAATTTAGTTTCTTTAGTTAAATTTCCGCTATATGTAGCATCGCTTTATATTTCAAAGTGTTTATTTTATATCCATCTGGGATTGATACGATATGTTTGAATGTCTCTGAACGCTATAATACACTATAATAAGGTTCCACAGCCCTTTGCAAGAGAAACTGAGACACATCATCACATGTTCTTTGTGTTCATGTTTCAGTAAGTTTTCAGAGGGCCAATTCAGAAAAAAAAATACAAACAGGTAAAACTTTCCCCTTTCTGGATTATCTCTGGTATAAAAGTTTAGCCTCCTGGTGGGAGGAAAGTTTTCTTGTTGAAAGTTTCATTTTATTTCATTCATCTCTTCTATATCTTCATATATTTGGTTACATTTAATTTCTGCATCTTGGGTTGCAAACAAAATTTAAACCAATAATTCTTGTTGAATATCACATTGGTTCAAAGGGTTTGCATTCAAATACACCAATAAAATAACCTTGAGTTGGAATATTTAATAATGTGGTTTTTCAGTGTCTGCACAGAGACAGTGAACACCACTATCATTAAAGATTTTAAATTGTAAAGGAACTGATACTGGAAAAAAAACTCTCTGACCAATAGACAGGATACAAGTTAAGGTAGTTGTGCTGGTGGGATACAAAAGGCTTTTATTTTCTGGTGTTACTCCCAAACAACCAGTTGGGTTTAGCTAAAGTTAAAATATGTATGTTATAGACTGGACCTCCAACCACTTCTTGAACAGTGAGCTTTGAAAATTATTTTACTGTGTGTATTATTTTTAAAACGGCATAGAAAAAGAAAAACTTTTAGTTCTAACCATTTTTTTTTACATTATTGTTGACTACCGGTTTCTTTTAGTATTGTTTTGGTTTTTCAGTTCCTTTAATGCCTAAATGATCTGACTTCTAAATCATCCTAAGGCTCTTTCAAAACAACATATTTTTAAAGAAGCTTTTATTTCCAAAGAGCATGGGCATTATGCCAGGCTTTGTTTCTTTTTTATAATAATTGCTGATTGTATTATTTAAACTAACAACCTTGTGTTTCACTAACTGCTTCTCAATTCAGTTAAAAAAATCCTTCATTAATCCCAAAGGGAAATTAAATCTTGTAGCAACTAATCGACTTTTTTCAACAAGTTATTGTATGTGATGAAGGCTTTAGGCAGGAAGAATCTTCTGTAGCAGTCGGTCTGTACCAGATCTTGAGAAGCCTCTGACTGAAGACACAGTTTTTGTTTAACAGTCTGATGAAGAGCATGCTCACTGTTATCCATAATGTTGTTCACTATATGATGAATTCCTCTTTATTAAAAAATTTCCAGATGAGTTCCTAGAACAGAGCCAACCTTCTTTATCAGCTTTATTTGATGCTGTCATCCCAGCATATGATGCTGAGATCAGACTCTCCACAACAGGTTTATAGAAGATATGCTGCATCTTGCAGCAAATACTGAATGTTTTTAAGTTCTTATGTTCATTTAAAGCTCTACTTTTTAAAATGCTTTTTAAATAAATAATAACAATGATATTTATATCCCAGTTAAACAGAAAGTCCTGGATTTCTAATTACCAGTTCCTGTTACAGACTTCAAAATATGAGGTAAAATATAAAGAAAACCTTAAATGCTGAAATGCACTTTGAACTTGCAAAGGTGCCAACATCCAAACAAACAGAAACAGGAGCTGTGTTTAAAAATGTAAAACGCTGCACTTTAGGACATACAAACATTTCCCCACTTTTCTTTAGCAGCAGTGGCAAAAAGTCTGGACAAAAAAAAAAAAAATCTGACTGCCTAGCATTAACAGCAATATAATCATCCACACCACACAAAACGTAGTGTGTGTGGGGTGTGTTTGCCAACAAATGTGAAAGCATGTTCTTGTCTGTGTGCTGCAACACACCAAGTTAATTAATTTCAAAGCCTAGCCGTGTGCTCTTGGCTGATAAGTCCCTCCCCACTACCCACAATGCTTTGCCCAAGTAGGAGACTGCAGCGTATTCATTCAGCCAATTAGCCCAAATACTGACACACTCAACAAATTAGTGTTTGTGCTTTTGAGCACACGCAGTCACAATCCCTCTCACACATGCATGTACTTATACACACGCCGACACGCAGAGCTCTGTGTAAACAAACTCTTGGACTGTCTGACTTTGTGCCAGGGGAGAGAAAGGCGGCTGGGTGGGCAGAAGGGGGTGGGGGGAGGTGAATGCATATCAGTTTATAATTAGAGCAGAGTTGAAGTACTAAGTTTGTATTCTGGTGTTAAATTGGAAGTGTTCAATGCAAATAAATTCAGCTCAGAGTCAATTACCGATTCTAGACTCCAAGTTGCAAACCTTCAAATCAATTTCAGCCCCTCTGCCTTACCAACATTAGCACATCACATAGATGATGGGTTTTTTCATGAAAAATGAAATAAGTAACTCCTGACAAATTAGCTCATTCACAGTTCACCTTTAGTTCATGAACTCTGTAGGGAAAAAAGGGAAAGAAAGAAAACCAGCAAATAGAGAGAGGACGAGCAATGGAAGGACTGACTTTGTTTTTTTATGCTGAGATGGTTGTTTTCATCATAGCCACTGTTTAAACATTCCTATCAGGAACATTACTAGCAAAGATCTACTGTAATCAGACAGTAATCAGTGACACCAACCTGAGTAGTAACAAAATATCCTTTGTCATGTTAAAACAGTAGAGCTGCTTGGCAATGTACAGGCTGAATATCTTTGAATTTCACCTTCTTGTAATGTCTTGCACATGAGCTTCAGAGAGCGCACATACCCGGCTCTGTGTGATGCGATGTTTGTGGATGTGTGAGGCGAGGAGGGCAGAGGCCACGGCTGTGAGCAGGTGCTGCTGCACCCTGGACCCCGCTCCACCTATGCCCTCCAAGACAGCTGCAGGGCCACAGGTGTCAATCACTGACAAGAAGACTGCTGGGTCCAAGCGAGAAAGCCTTGAAAGAGACTGGGGGAAAAGAGAAATAAAAACACATGTACGTCATGAGGTAATTTACTGCACATCATCCATGAATTATGAGTCAGGTTCTCTGGACTTGGGATGTTAAAGAAAATCCAATGCTGGATACGCTGTGATGACTAATCACCTGTGAATGTATCCACTTCCAGTGACGTCAACAACTTAGTTACCATATCTATAGAGTGATAGTGGATGGGTTCAATAATGATATGTTTTGACAGTCATCATCATGCCTTGCAGCGATAAGGCTTCCAGACCTTTTTCATACTCCGGGGGGGGAGTTTTGGCCAAGTGGTCAGGGCAGTGCTCTTGTGCTCTGAGAAGGTTGCAAGTACCCGGTTCAATCCTCACAGCCTGCACTCTGGGTTCCTGAGCAAAACCCTTAACCCCACACTGTTCCCCGGCGCCACACAATGGCAGCCCACTGCTCCACAGGGGGTGGGTTAAATGCAGAGATTGAATTTCCCCATTGTGGGACAATAAGGGGATTTAATTCTTTTTTTTTTTTTTTACATTTACATTACAAAGTTGGTCAGTTTTAATATATCTGACTGGGATTTATGGGACAAACTAACAACAAAAGTTATCTAATTATGAAATTATTTAAGAATACAAATTATGAAAGTATTATATGCTTTAAATTATATCTAAAAACCAACAACTTTATTTTGAGTTTCTCTTTTTTTTTACATTGATAAACCTATATAAAATCCAGGGTAATGGACTGCTATTGAAAGTTACTAATTGATAAAAAGGATGTTTATAATCTAATATTGAAACAATGACAGCTTCATGTGTGGCACAAGTGCAAACATTTAAAAATGGCAAGCTGGGAAAAGTGTGTATTAATCTGAAAAGAAGGAGAGATGCATAGAGTAACTCTGGATGAGCTGCAGCGCTCATTGGCTCAGGTAAAAGAAACATATGACGACATCAGTTCTGTACTCTAGAAATCTGGCCTTGTGGGAAAAAAAAAAAAAAAAAGATTATAAGAAATTCTGTTTGTAGTTTATTGGAGGCCATTTGGCAGCAGAAATGTGGAAAAGGTGACTCAGATGTTTGACCTTTATAAGTATGTGTGGGAAACTAAGACTGCTCATCACCCTGAGGAGTCCATCCTTAGGATATCAGAGGATGACAGCGTAATCATACTTTGGGAATATTTTACCTCAGAATAAACAAAAAGGTTGACAGAGTTATTGAAAAAATGTATTGCAGCAAATATTGGAAGATGGTAGGAAAAAAATCAGAAACAATAAAACAAAAACAAAACATTAACTTCTACCAAAGATTTCAGACTGAGGTGAAGGTTCACGCTCCTGTTGGACAACATGTCTAGACCTACAGCCAGAGCCTTCCTGCTGTAGTTTACATCGAAGCATGTGTAATGTTTATGGTCCAGTAAAGCTAAGGCTTAATTCTATTGAGAATGTGCAGCAGGAGTGGAAAACTACAGTTAACTAATCCTTTCAATGTGAAGTTAATCTAATTAAAAAGAGCCAAGCTTCAATCCGCTAAATGCTTTTTTGATTTTTTTTCTCAGAAATTCAACTCACAAAATGATTTACTCTTATAGTTCTGTTTTATAACTTCAATTTGTGTTGCTCTATCTTATGAAATATATATAAAAAACCAAAATCTTAGAGGTAACATATCAATTGTTTTTTGTCATCCCTGAGCATCTTTTTGCTTCGGGGTACCAGGTTTATCGTTTTTTTAGAAAAAAAAATGTAGGGGTAAAATAGAAATTTTAGCTGATAAGCCTCTTATTTTCTAGGTTTACCATAAGGTTGCAGGTAGGAAAACATGTTTTATTCAGTTGTATGTATTATTGACATGTTCTTGTATTGTGTGAATATTGTCAAATGAACTTACAGACATGGCAGTGACTCTGATGGCCTCCGCAGTAGAGTGAGTGAACAGGTACCACAAAGCCGAGCCCATCTCTGTGGTGGCCAGATGACGAGAGAAACCAGAGGCAGTCGAAGAGATGTTGTCTATGGCTTTTGCAGCCATATGGTGGACTACAGCATCATTCTAAAAGAGAAATATTAAAACTTAGATCTAATGATGTTGTGAAGGTTCACAAAAATCAGGGTTCGGTACTGGTCTGATTTAAAGTCATGGTTTTATATGATTTACACTTCAGTTAAGAAAAAGAAATACAAATTAAGTATTTTTATCTATTTATTATTAAAACATATAGAGTATTTATTCAAAAATAAAATTTGAATTCATTATCTTACGAGGAGCTGCAAGGATAAAATGGAGATTCATAGGACTCAGATCTCATTACATGTGCTGAGTTTGGGCTGATTAGATTCTACAGACGGCCATTTAGGGCTTTCTGCTAATTTCTCTCCAGTGACTGTAATATTTGCATTTAACTTGACGGTGTTTCAGGTGGGTCATTGATTAAGTGTTCAGAAATGATGTACAAATCTATTGCTGTTAAATGTTTAAAAATGCACTGACCTTGGGTATGGTCCACTTGTATTTCTCTATTGCCAATGTGGCTGAATAAGAAACTTTGTCTACACCAAAGCAAAACTTCCACGCCTTTGTTTTGGTGACAACTTTAATCATACTCGTCATAAAAGAACACACTCGTTATTTTTGCACATAGACTCACTGAGCAAAAAGATGTGTACTATATATTTTTGTATAAACGTGTACATTGTCACCAGAAATCGAACGATACAAGTTTTTAAGGCCGATACAGATTATGCAGAAAGTAGCCTAAACAATACACAATATGTGGCGCTAGATAGATAGATAGATAGATAGATAGATAGATAGATAGATAGATAGATAGATAGATAGATAGATAGATAGATAGATAGATA